AACTTAAAGATGATTAGGTTTTGGTTTTGGATAATATTGACTTTAATTCATCCCCTTTTTTGTTTGGGGGTGTCAATGATTGTCAGATTGCGTCCAATGACTCCCATGTATGTATGGCCTACCACCTGTAAACTGTCAAGTCCAATTCATATCCAGAAAGGCAGAAACTTCTATCCATCCGGGTCATTATCATTCCAGAGTTCAGTAACTCGGTGAGTTATTGTGCCATATATAGAGGGATTTTCAATGAAACGGATATGAGTTTGGAATTAGGACACTTATACATACAACCTGTTTTGTTACATACTCCATTATATGCTCCAATCTTTGTTATTAATTTGTTTACACACTGACGGCTCACTAAAAATGAGCTTTTGTTCTGGGCATAAAATTAGAACTTACAAAACTCCAAACGAAAAATTGATATAGATCAATGTCTCTTGAACACCTAGACAAAATTTCAGTTCAATTCAACGATGAACTTTTGCAGATAGAACAAAATAGCAAAAATGCCCACAATACCAAAATTGTAGAAAAACAGATCACCAAAAACAAACTACTGTTCTAGGCATAATATCAGAACTTACAAAGTTACAAACAAAAAATTGACTGTTCAAAATATAGATCAATGTCTCTTGAATAGTTAGACAAAATTTCAGCTCATTCCAACGGTGAATTTTTACAGATCGAACAAAATAGCCAAACTAAGCATAGTACTAAAACTGCAAAAATTTCCCTTGTTTTCTTTTTCCTTTTCTGCCGATTGGTTCCACTCACATGCACTTCACTTTCTACTATATTATCCCAAAAACAGACTTGTTTTATGTGTCTAAGGCCAAAGGCCAAAATAGCGAGAGGGAGAAAGGAAAAGAGAGAGAGAAAGAAAGGGCTGGGCGCATTTGGGGGGAGTTATGAGGGAAGTGTGTAACAGATTAAGTAATGAAGATCGTTAGTGTGTAAGAAAGTGTATAATTTTGTAAAATATATGTATCATTTCCCTTGAAATTATTATTACAATTCAAATGGATATGAGATTGAACTTACTACATTTTAATAATAAAAGGATGGTTACAGGAGTCAAGTTGCAGGAATCATTACAAGAAAATTAGCTTTTTGTGACTAAAAATAAAAAATGATTTTTAATTTATTATAAATATCTTTTGTATTTATAATTAATTCAAGATATTAGTCACTAATTCTATTTTTTAAAATTAAAATATATAATTTTGATACAAAAACTTTATTTGTTCACAAAAGATTCATCATAATAAATCACATAAATTTGTGACAATGAAAATAGTCACACTAAGGTAACTATTAGTTACTTATTAAATATTAGTCAAATGATTAATTTTTGTCATAAATACTACATTTTACTTATAACAAAATTTATCATTCCTAATATTTGCATTTTATAACGGTATATATGATCTGTCACAAAAGAAAATTACAAAAGGTAACAAAATTTTTTGTCACAATTAATTCACAATTGAACTAAAAAATTAAAAAAAAATTTGTAATTATAATAATCATCACAATCTAGTGAAAAAGAAATTTAAAAAATATTTTTTTTGAAAGGAAAAAAATTATTTATTTAGATTATAAGAGATACTTTAATCCATATACATTGATTAGACATGCCACATATTATATATATATATATATATATATTATCTTCATGCCACATTATTAAGGTGGCCTATTTCAGTGTTGACTCTAAGAGAAATAAACGTCTTTGCTTTTCGGAATCAACATAAACCCTCCAATTATCCCTTTCTCGTCCTATCACCTAGTAATGGTTTACTGAAATCACCTGGTTTGGTACACCAATCCGTGAAAGAGGCATTCAGGCCTTCACCTCTTCCATTAATCTAGTGAAAAGCCCTTGCTTGAACTAGCTCAAAACTTTGATCCATGCTTGCCACTGTTCCTTTAAAAACTTGCCCATTTCAGTTTAGCCAAATAGTCCATAACATTACAAACCAAATGACATCCTAGTACCTTCTCAGTTTTCTACCCCTTCCACTCTAAACATGTTGTACAAAGGCTTTATTTAAGTCACAATGTAACACATATTCTAAGTTCTACCACAATAAACATTTTGACCATAGAGATTGGGCAAACTTACAATTAAGAAGTAAATGATTTATTGTTTCTATTTCTTCCCCACATAAGCAGCATATAGCTTCATTAGGAATACGAATGACCCCTTTTCTTATCTAATTGTCTTTAGTGGGAAGTCTATTAAGCAATTTTTGCCACACAAAGGCACATACCTTACATGGTACTAGAGGGTTCTAGCATTTCTTGAAATTGAGATCCTCCTTATTAGTTAATGCATGTCATAAGAGCTGATAGGCAGACCTTATTGAATATGCTCCATCCTTCTCCATTATCTAGCTCCATTGATCTTTCTTGTCACGATATGGTTTTTGTGGTTGTAACAAAACTTGTAGTTGAGCACATAATTCCTCCTCCCAACTGAATGGTTGTCATCTCCATTTAAGATCCCATGCCCAAGAATTTTATAAAATATAGGTTTTTTTGACTGAATTAATTCAAAAAAGAAAAAGAAAAAGGGGTGCCTCATCTACATATTCATTACCAAATAATTTTCTATTTATCTAATGCCACACAAAGACCATTGCAAATCAAGACTTCTAACTCTCTCAAATATTCTGATTATTACATATTCATGAAATATTTAGTTATTCCTTACATCAAAACTGTAATATCTCAAAATTTTGTGATATTTTAGCACTTAGTTAAGGACTTGATTGTGAGGAAATATTATTTTCGAACTTAATAACCAAAATTTTGAAACTTGAGGGACTTAAAAGAGAAAAGGATTTGGATAAGGGTCAGTTATTTTTTCTCCTTTTCCTCTTTCTTCTTCAGCCCGATTCTGCTCTTCTTCTTTCCTGTCCCCTGCAGCCTCTTCCCCAAGCTGCCGACACACCCTCTTGAGGAGAAGAAATGGTAAAGCTTGATTTTTTTTCCTTCTTTCTTGTTCAAGAACAAGCTTAGAACCTAGAACCTCCCCTAAATCTAAGAAAATTTCAGATCTTGCAACCTTTCTTCTCCCCTGCTACCGGTTTCAGCTTGGTGAGGGTGGGGATTTTTCGGTTTTCTGGTAAGGGAACCACCATGAAATCATCTCTTTAGCTTTGATTTGCCTTGAGTTTACTCTAATTTTGTGTTGTTTCTTCAAATTTTGGTAGCCCCGTGAGCTTCCCCTCCAACTTACGCCGACTGCCAAGCTTGCCGACCCAGTTTGCTGGCCGGAAATTCGGGTAGGTAGCAGCTCTCCCAGTCTGGATTTTTAATCCATTAATTGCTACCCTATATTGTTGCAATTTTCTGTGTATTGTGGAAGGAACCCGTTAGTTGCTACCCCCTTGCTGTTCGAAAATTTCTGCCGAAACAAGGGAAGAATTGGCAGCATTTTAAATGTGTTTTTGTGCTTTGGTTTATGTAGGAATTTGGTTAATTAGGCTACTGTGATTTTTGGAGAGAAATCCCGTGAGATTAGTTATTGTTTTGCCAATTTTGGAAGTTGCAGTTACTGTTTATGGGCACTGTTCACGCACTAATGGCCAACAATATAAGGGTTTAAATGTGTAGTTATATTGAGAATAAAATTGAGATATTAGGTCATATGGTTGGATTTCGTGTGAAGCTCATTGGTTAGTAAATTTTCAAGGTTGTGCTAATAATTCTAGCAAAGTCTAAATGTATTTATTTGGAATATTAGGTGCTATTATGGCTTAGAGCATTGAGATCGAGTCCTCGGTTTATGTGAGTGAGGTAAGTAACTTATGGTAATGTTTTGGATTTTGGTAAAGCTTTTAAAAGCAAATTTTTGATGGTTTTGAAATAGTGGCGGGACTAAATCCGTTTTACACGAGCATGATTGATTTGAAGTGAAATTTTTATGCTTTTCATTAAATTGAGCATGCCTACTTGAAATTTAATTGATTGTCCTGATGATCTGAAAGTGATTGGTGAATTATGATTTTTCCGTTAACTTCTGCTTGTTTTGTCTCCGATATGGTCATGTTACTGGTGTGCCCGCTAGTGGGATGTTTATAAACGCTAGCACATGTCGACATGTTATTGATAGAACCGGTTCGTTCGAGTGACCCTGCTAGTGGGGTTTATGCACCAGCAAATAGTGTAGCTTGTCAATGGGAGGTTTATAACACTAGCCATGACCTATAGAGGAGACGTCTATTTCGTTCCCGTACTGTATCTGTTTTTTGTGATTACACTTGTTGGCATGCTATAAGTTTAATTAAGGGCTATCCATATTTACTTACTGAGTTATCTCATAATTTTTCCTTATCCACCATTTCAGGAAGCGAAGTCAAGGACGAGGAAAAATGAGGGGAGTAACGAGTTAGAAGGCTAACCATCTTGTAAATTGAGCATAGATTTAGATATAAATCATGATCTTGTAAGTTAGATTTCATTGGAAGATTTTATGATATCAGAGCAAATTTTAAAATTTTATCTTCAGATTTTGAAGGTATCAGATTGTGGTATGATAAAGTTTCAAGTTTTGTGCACTTGTGAGACCCTCTCACAAGTGCACGGCGTCTGCCATGTCCTCGGATTTGGGTTTTGGGGCGTGACAGATTTAGTGGTATCAGAGCTTAGGTTTAAATTAAGAGTTTAGGATTAAATTAAGCACCTCCAGATTTAGTAGTATCAGAGCTTAGATTTAATTAAATACTTAGGTTTAATTGAATACTTAGGATTTGTTTAGAACTTGGCTGGCCAATGGATTTTAGAACCGTGGTGAGGCGAGTGATGGAGTTATATAAGGGACGATTCTGGTTCACGTTGCCTGAATTTCCTAATCCATTTTGATGTGAT